GGCAGGAGATCATCACAGCTGAAAATGGAGCGCTGGAGCCCGTTTTCACTGGCAGAGCACTTGGGTCACCACAGACGCCACGCGCCCCCAGCTCAAACACAACCGTGATGCGGCGCTCAATGAAACCGCGTTTGACACCCCTGTCTTAAACGCTTTCTTGCTTAGGCTACAAGAGGCTGATCTGACACTGTCTGTTCACCTTCACTAGCAGGTGGATCAGGACTGTCCTTGGGAGTGCAGCGCCCATTTTCCAGGGCCCTTCCCATCTCTCCTTCTGGCGGGCCACTGGGTTCGTTTTCGCTTCGCTGCCTGCCCTTCAGATCGGTGAGAGTGCAATTCTCAGAAGCTCCCATCTCAGCATCTCCATTGGGCACTTGCTCCATAGGGCTGGTGTTGTGGGTAGGAGGGGGGCACTTGGGTGCTGAAGCTGTGTCTTTGGGGATTTCACTGGTCTCCGCCTGCAAAAGGACAAAAGCAGGAAAGAAAAAAGGTGTGAAAAATAGTTGAAGACCACAACAGGACAAAGGAAGCTATCAAACTTCTATAAATCCCAACTAAGGCAAACCTTGACAGATACCTGTGAAGGAAGTCCTGCTGTCTAATGAGAAAACATTTGCTTCACATCTAAACAAGAACAAATCTTCTTGCCCCACAAAGAGTAACAAACTGTAGCATATGCTTTTGCAGACCAAACCCCCATCATTAATTGCATGGAATGTTATCCTGAGTTGTCAAATAAACTCACACAATGTAAGGAGAATAAGGGGAAAAAAATACTGTTAGCTGTGAGATCTGAGAGAAAGAAATGCAGGAAAAAGAGACAGCATATTTATATGGCAATTACATTAAGGATTAAATGTAAGCAAGTTGCAATAATCTGTAAAGTGCTGCCAATAAATAATTTGCATTGATAAATGGAAACAAGGTGCATTTTGAATTACATTTGAGGCGAATAAAGATTTCCCATGGGTTAAAATAAGTAGAAAGAGTATTTTTTAATCACTTTTTATCAAATCTTACTGATAAATTATCTACAACCCTATGTAACTTGAGGTGCTTTGATCAGATTGCATTGATAATTTCCCTTTTAAGCTCTTGCATAGGGCTCGCTTTTAAAAACAGTTCAGAAAAACAAAGCCACAAAAGTGAAGTTGGATGATGATGTTATCTACTGTACGCTTTGTGTGTTTGGGGATTTTAAAGTACAGGCAGTCCTCGACTTACAACAGTTCATTTATTGGATGTTTGAAGTTACAATGGCACTGAAAAAAAGTGACAATTTTTCACCCTTATGACCTTTGCAGCATCCCCACAAGCATGCTTCACAAATTCAGATGCTTGGCAACTTGTTCAGATTATGGCACTTCCAGTGTCCTGGTGTCATGTGATCATCTTTTACGACCTTCTGAGAACCAAGGTCAATGGGTAAGCTAGATTCACTTAACAACCGTGTTACTCATTTAACAACTGCCGTGATCCACTTAGCAATGGCGACAAGAAAAGTTGTAAAATGGGGCAAAATTCACTTAACGTGTCTTGCTTAGCAACATAAATTCTGGGCTCAGTTGTGGCCGTAAGTTAAGGACCACCTGTACAGAGATTTCCTTTCAGCAACCGCTGCCAAATCTTTCTTTTAAAAATGAATGTTTATGCTTGTTTATCTTAATAGAGAATAATGACGAGGAATGCCCACATTTCGTAAATTAATAAGCGAGGGATAAAACTTAAGGACTTTTCCTCTGTTATTGCCGTTGGTTCTGAAACACTGCAAAAAAGCTTCATGGCTTAGAAGTAAGAGGTCTCAGCAGTCTTTAAACCGAATAGGCCCAGTTTAATGGGCAAAAACAAGAAGTACGGTAGTTCTTGCATTATTATGGAAGGAAGAATTCAGTCTAGATCCATTGAAATTAAGAGAGGAACAAGGATTTGGAAGCATTGCTTCCTATTTGAACATGACCATTGGAAAAAAGAAAGGAAATGGACATGTTAAGAAGTGTTATTCTTAAAGGATGCTTTGACAACTCTTTTTATCACTAACCATTTGGGGTTTTTTTCCTCTTAAATTTGTTTTCCTTTGAATCTAAACTAGATCTTATGAGGAAATGAGCCGTTTGGTGTTACTGAAGTAGTTGCTTGGTGTCACGAGCCAAATGGGATTCCCCACTTATACGGCACTTATTTCTCCAACAGCTCCATGGGCTGCTGCCTTCTCTCAATCATCTTTGCTGAGGCCAAATGATTCTGAATATCTCAGAATCACATTTTCCTGCTGCTAGTCACGGATTCATCATGCACAAACATCACTTGCACACTGTCATTCTGCATCAGCCCCAATGCCTTCCTGGAGGCCTTCTGTTGCTTCTTCCCATTCACTGGGTAACTGCTAAGCTATTAGGCTTCCGGAGATGAAGGAATATATATGGCTACTCTATTAGATAATCTTGGCAGAAATGGCAATATTTAAATCCACCTTTATTTCAAATCGGTACACAGCTAATACTCCTTCTTCCACCTGTTTACCCACAACAAAAACCCTATAAAGGTTAGGGTTAGAGTCATGGCCCCCTGGTTTCTTGCCTGATGCCTTAACCACTAGATAAGAATTAAAATAGGATTCTATGAATTAGAAGGTACATTCATCTAGTCTAACCCTTTGCTTAATATTTTGGGATACAGGGCTAGCCATTCACTTATTTAATACCACCAGCGAAGGGGAAGACATCATGACATGTGTCAAATGGTTGATATTTCTCACAGTCAGGAAGTTTTTCCTAATATCTAACCTGAAAGTGTGTAATAGAATGACTTTCTGGGCAGAGGAACTGATCAGGCAAGAGAGAGAGGATCTCACAATTGCTTAATGGTCAGAAGGGTCCACCTTAATTGATTAGATAGTTAAAAGAGTGATAACAAGTTGTACCTTCAGTTTTGCAAGATTTTGTTAATGTAGCCTTACTACAAAGAAGATTTAGTTCATGTAGTCATGTTTCTTGTCTGGTTTACCCAGGAGGGCTAACAATCTATTATTCATTTGTTTCAATCCATTGGTTCTGGTTTTATCCTCTAATTCTAAGATAACAGAAGAAACAGACTCCTTTATATGGCATTCCTTTAGCAATAGCTCTTAGATGTAAAACACTTCATAGTGTTTTACAGCCCTCTCTAAGCAGTTTACAGAGTCAGCCTATTAGCCCCAACAATCTGGGTCCTCCTTTTACCAATCTCGGAAGGATGGAAGGTTGAGTCAACCTTGAGCCTGGTGAGATTCGATCTGCCAAACTGCTGACAGCCAGTGATCAGCAGAAGTAGCTTGCAGTACTGCACTGCGCCACCGCAGCTCATTAGATATCCTTTTGTTAAAGAGTAATAAAGCAGAACTACTACGATTTTTATTTTGACTCTGTCCTTTCAAAGAGGATATGCCCCCCACCTAACAATAGTGAAGAGCAAAGTCCAACGTGTTAGATAGAACCCCAATTAAGAAACATCTGTGATATCAATTCCCAAGAAAATTCTAGTGCAATTTGATTTAAGTACCCTGAAAACAATGTGATGATCACAGAATGTTAGCATGGATTTGTCCAGATTAACCTTGTCCTTTCTTGACTAGATAACTTCCTTAGGAGATCATGGCAATGCTGTAGAGATAGTGTAATTTCAGCAAAGCGTGTCACAAAATATTCCATGACTTTCTGATCTGCAAGCTAGTATGAGCTGGATGGCATAGCTATTTGGTGATTCCCCAGTAGGCATGAAAACCATACTCAAAGAGGTCCAAGTCATTTTTCATCACACTGGAAAGAGGTGTCAAATGGGTGCAATAGTGTTTGATCCTCAAACTTGTAATCTTCAACATGCACATTAATCTTGAATAAAGAGGTAGAGAGAATGTTTATCAAATCTGCAGATGACACAGATATGGCTAGGATAGAGGTAATACTCTTGAACACAAACATAATTCAAAAATGTGTTATGTCAGGGAGGGTGACTGAAAATGATGAAATTTAACAGAAATAAATATTGTTGTTGTTGTTGTTGTTGTTAGTTGTGAAGTCATGTCCGACCCATTGCCACCCCATGGACAACAATCCTCCAGCCTTCCTGTCCTCAACCATCCTATGGAGTCAATTTAAGCTCACACCTACTATGTTATTCAAATAGGGAAAAAAGAAATAAAATCCATTAGTGTAGGATGAGAGACTCTTAACTGATTGAAAAGATACGTGAAAGGTGACATGGTGAGGCAGAAAGGGACAGATGGCAAAATGCTTCAAGGTTAGTAAATGAACAGCTACATTTCCACTGACTGAAAAAAAATGGGAAAAGACCCAAGAAGCGAATCTCAAAAGTTGCCAAGAAAACTGCATGGATTCTTCCGTGGAGTTGCCAGAGTCAAAACTGACTCAAAGGAACAAACGTGTATATACATGCACCTGTACATACATTCAGTAACATATACATTGGGCAGGATTCCTAAATTAGACTGAGAACCTCTTGTATGTATGACTCTCTAATTTTCGGCAACTAATTTACTTATCTTACTTAACCAATTTAAGTACAATGACAATAAAGATTACACTTATACTTACTTATCTAACCTTCTTGAGTCTGCATGGGTGTGAAGAACAAAGATTTTAAAAAATGCTTATCTAATACGAAGCCTGATAATTGATTTTTAGATGCATCAGTAAAATCAGAGACAGTTTGGAAGAAATGAAATCAAGTATACTTGCTCTTCTGTTCCAGATTTGTTTCCACCAAAGATCCCTGAGTAATTTTTTGGGGCAGGTAGAACAGGTGCTGCAATGTAGCATCTCCATTTTGTCTTCTTCCCCTCAGCAGCTACTATTATTGCATATGGCACCAATTTTACCAACAACTTTCCTTCCCAGTATGATATATCCCATTGCCCGCTCCCCAATTTGCCCTCTTCCCTTTCACACCAGAATTGCCACAACCAATAATCCCAGCACCCTTTGAGCATTGACAATGTCTTTAGATTTTTCTCATTACCTCCACCACTCAAGAAACAATACTCTGATTCATATCCAGGACAAACAATCCCATTATATTTCATATGTATATCCAGGCTGAAAACATGAGCATTTTGGTCTGGGCGTGGTCCTTCCAAAACCAGCAGTTTAATGAATGGAATGGGTTTTGCACAGAAAGCTTTATAAATCCCTAGAAGCAAGTATGCTTAGCCTTATGAAACAATTGCTGAGGATAGATCTGCTGTGGAAAATGACCACATTTAAGTGCCTTAAAGAGTATCATAAAGGATATTAGCACAAAGTGCAGAGCATGGAATAATTATCTTCAATTACAAGAGGAAGGCAGATTGTTGTTGCCTAGTACAGAAAACTTCCTAATTATAAAAGCAATTCAATGGTGGAGACAGTTCCGTACAGAGGTGTGAGCATCCATTGATTGGAGAGACTGGAACGTCATTTTTTTT